CGCGGGTCCATCTCGGCACCCGCCCGCGGCAGGCCTCTAGAGCCCCGCGCACTGTCTCTGCTGCCTCAGAGCAAGTGTCCCCTGCCCAAAAGCCAGCAGCCAATTGGGGCGGGCGTCTTCGGCGTGGGGCCCTGCCCTTGGTGGATCTGCCGGCTAAACGGTGGATCTGACGGCTAACCGGAGTGAAGTTCCACGGAACGAGGAACCCGACAAGAATAGGCGACGCCAGCCCAGCTCCCTGGCCCCAGCAGAGGCTGCAGCCAATCAGAGCCGTGCCCGCCGAGGCGCCTCGCGCTGGGACTACTCACGCACCTATGTAAGCGCCAACACCCAGACGCACGCCCACTGGCGCATCGAGCTCATCTTCCTGGCGCGCGGTGATGCCGAGCGCAACATTTTCACTAGTGAGCGGCTGGTCACCATCCACGAGATTGAGCGCAAGATCATGGACCACCCCGGCTTCCGGGAGTTCTGCTGGAAGCCCCATGAGGTGCTCAAGGACCTGCCACTAGGCTCCTATTCCTACTGCTCTCCGCCCAGCTCGCTCATGACCTACTTCTTCCCCACTGAGAGGGGTGGCAAGATCTACTATGATGGCATGGGCCAGGACCTGGCTGACATCCGGGGTGAGCTGGCTGGGTGTGGCTGGGGGTGGGGCATGGGCAAAGCTGGGGGCGGGACCTGGGAGAAAGTATGAGGCAAGGCTTGGATGTGAGATGAGTGTGAGCGGGAGGCAAAGAGGGATGGCTGGGTGCAGACCTGGTTTGAAGGATGCTGGGAGTTAGGCTGTGGCCAGAGTTAGAGAAGTCCTGCGTAGGGCTTGGGCCTGAGGTGGGTTAAAGGGAGGCCAGGATGTGTTGCAGAGAACCAGGGATCTGGTCAGAGGAGGATAGGAGAGAAACCCAGGTTGAGGGAAGACCGAGGCAGCGTTAGTTTTAGATGAAATGGGCATGGAACTTGAGGATGGGTGGCGCAGGGCCAGAGAATGGTTGTGGGACTGGGGGGGGGTTTGGTGCTTTTTTTTTTTTTTTTTTTTTTTTTTTTTGGGGGGTTTTTCTTACAGG